CCACTCGATCCCAACACGTATGCAAAGTTAGATCGCTCAAGTGGCACTAGATGACCGATATGCAAACAAGTTTGCCCCTCTTGATAGTGCGGCCATCTATCCTAAACCCGGTCATCAACTTCTCTACATACCTATGACCGATGAAATAAAATGCCCTATGTTATACCTTTGCCTACGCATTCCATTCCATCTCCTTTGATGTCGATGCAACACATGCACCATCCAATCATCAAATGATATGACCCACTTCATATCATCACGTGACCGTATTGGTTTATTAATCTTGACTTTACTTGCTCTTCAACGTTGCCTCGGTCCATTGTCGCCAAGTCATCACTCAACTTACCCTTCACACTTGCAACCGGTCCATCGAGCCAAGTCTTGTCTTGATCTTCTCCACCTTGATCACATGACTCAATGTCATGTCTCATGTGCAATGAGCTCCTTCATCATCACATGTGTGAGCTTTGCAACATCTTCGAGCCATCTACACCGTCATGGCATATGTTGCTCACACACATGTACTTATGGACTAATCACCTGTGTATCTCACTCAAACACATATTAGTCCACCTAAGGTTGTCACTCAATTACGAAAACCAAACAAGGACCTTTCATCTATCTCACATGGGTTTTCTTGAGCACTATTTTTTTGTGATAGGTTTTCTTGAGCACTAGAGACTAATAAATTCACATAATGTTGTATCCCTCTTAACAGTACGACATACCTATCAACTCAAATTTCAATGAAAAACTGAAATCAAACTGCTTGAGCTTCAATTCTTCACATATGACATTTCATCTTCACACGAGAGCCAATTAGCTTATCTTCATTATCTTGAGCAATGCCACCTTAAGCATGTGACTTGAGCCAGTTCCTCAACATTTATGAAATCACTCTAAGGCTTCAAGTTGCTTCATCACATATTCAACAATGATTTTGATTCTCCTGAATATATGGATCCACATAGCTCGATTAGTGCCTTGACGAAATGCATGCACTCTCTTCTTCACCTTAGCCATGGTGCCTCGATGCTCAAGTCCTCGCTTGCCCTTCACCTACGGTTAGTACCTCAAAGATCTTTCTTGCTATCTTCACTCTATCAAAGCCATCCTCAAGTCACATCCTTTCTTGAATATAACAATAAGCATCCATTATTATCTTTTGCTTGAACTAGATTATTTCCATGAGCTTCCATCTAAACAATGCTCATTTTGATTTCCTATTGCACAACTTCACCAAGCCTCATCTTAGAGACTTCATTTGATACTCATCAACAAACATGTCCCTTTTTGAAATTTCCAACTTATGCTTGTCAATTTGCTTGGTCCAATGATCATATATATGTCCATGTCTCTTTTCTTTCACATACTTTGGCTTGCCATATGTTCCCCATTAGTCACATATAACATACCATAGCATACCATGTATGTTTGCCATTCAATTTGAGCCTCGATTCCTAATGATTTATACAAAAGAGTACATTTCAACTGTATATGGCAATATCAATAACCTGCTCAATACTTAGCAAACATGTTAGACCTTTAATCGTATTGTTATTCAATTCACCAAAACCCACTAAAGGACTAGATGCACTTTCAGCCTCATAGATTGTTTATATGGTAGTGCATGGCTTGAAGAGAAAGGACCCTCTCCTACAAATAAGTATTGTTAACATGGCATTACTATCAATCCTAAAGTACTATATCTAGGGTTTGCGACATATACTCTAGCACCCCCTCAATCATATGAGAGCTTTATACATGCTGTGAGATTGGATAAAACCCCCAAAGATCGTAAGTTGATAAGCTAAAACATCCTCCTACAGTCACAACGATCGGAACCTCATAGATGCTATGGATGAAGTGGAAGCTAACATCCTCGTGCCATGTCTAGCTATAAATAACACTATCTTCACTATTTATTTTTTTAAATAATTATCTGACTTTTTGGGTCTATTAAGAATTAGGTGTTTGTCTTCGTCCATCGCATCTATGAGAGCCTATTATTAGAGAAAAAAATTAGGTTTGTGTCTTCACAAATATGATTGTGAAAAAAACAACGGTAGTGCTGGGAAGTGGGCGTTCGTTCGCCCGAATGCCGCTCACCCCACTCCGCTCTGCGCGCTTCAGTGCTTCACGACTTCTAAAAAAACAACACCGCTCGCCTTCTCCATTGTAGGTGCCGCCTGCTGCGGCCTTCTCCAGTGCGGCGACGCCGCACCATGCCCCTTCCCACGCTGCTTCACGCGCCATGCCGTGCCACCATCCATCCAGCGTCACGCCCCCATCCACCTCGCTCGTCGCGAAAGGGGAGGCAAGGGAGGCCTACGCCTGTACCTGCGCCTGCACCCCCATCCACAGCTAGCGCCGTCGGCAGGAAGGAGAGGTCTGTGCCACCGCAGTTTCCCAACAGGTAGACCGTGGTTGCCGGCGAAGCTAAGTTTCAAGTGTTTTGATGTTTTTAGACATGTTGCAAGCCTATGTTTCAAGTGTTTCAGTTGTTTCATATGTATATTTTAAGTGTACGGATGTTGCAAAAGTAGATTGAGATGTTGCATATGTTGCAATGGTTGTACGCGTATGTTGCAAGCGTATATTCTCAATGTTTCATCTGTTTTTCAGACGTATGTTGCAAGTGTGTTTATCTGGATGTTGCATATGTTTCATACATATATTGCAAGTGTTTTATCTGGATGTTGCGTATGTTTGCAATGATTTTCAAGTGTTTTTTAGATATTTTTGGAAGTGTTGTGTTTCAGACGCATGTTTTAAGTGTTTTATCTGTCTTTTTTTATGTTGCAAGTGTTGCATCCAAATGTTTAAAAAGTAGATCGAGCTATTACACATGGGATGCGCGTGGGAAGTAGGAGAGGGCGCCAGCGGTCCTCGCGCACAGTCTGGCGGCGCGACCGATGTCCGGGGTGGCGCGGGCCCGCTGCTGAGGCACTCACTCACTCGCTGCGCGGGCACCGTCCGACGCTAGCGTTTCGATCAAACGTCGAGGCGCTATCAAGTCCGAAAAAACAATGGACGATGCAAGATAATCAACTAACCTCCTGGAAACAAAACAAACTTAGGCCCTATTTATTTCCTTTGGCAAAACTTTTGCTCAACACTTTTAGTCCCATGTTTTGAGCAAATGGATCTAAACAGTGGAGCAAACGGGGATAAAGTTTTGCCATTTGCACCTTAAGAGGTGAAATACTGGGCTAAAAGCATTGGGGGGTGTGAAGAACACCTCATTTTGTATTTTTAGCCTAAACTTTTGCCATGTATCTAAACACCTCAAGTTAGACTACAGTTTAGCACTAAAAATTTAGGGGCTAATCTTTTACCATGCAAATGGAACTAAACAGAGTCTTCCTAGACCAACTCAGCTTTCTCAGATGTCATAACCCGGTAACCCATCGGGCGGATGCTCGTCGCGTCGGCGGCTGCCCGAAACACGAAAGAGATGGCGGGCCAATGTCCCCGGCGGTCCGGTTGCGCCATCGCCGACGAAGACTCGCTACCGTCCAGTGGGGCGCGGTGCACGCGCCGCTCTCCCCGTCTGCACGTGACCGTTTCCCGGTGACCGACGATGGCACGCCATGTATGCCTGTGAAGCGCCGTCACGTCCACGATGACGCGAGGCTCCGGGCCGGCACGGCGTTTCCCGTGTGGGGATTACGGGTTGTCCTCGCACGTCGACGTCCAGTTCCGAGCTCTGCTTTTGTCGCGTTGGCCAAGCGAGGCCTGTGACAGTCCAAGCCAATAATAAATGCGTGCCAGTTCAGAGAAAAAAAAACACTATGCGCGCCTAGTTTGGGAGCACATGTGTCCTTTTTAACGGTTTTGTTAAAGTCAAGCTCTGCACTGGCTGGTTCGTCGTGCCGTGCTAAACACCATATGTACTCCTAATGCCTAATCACTGATCCTGCATTATTAGGGCTTAAATGTTTTCTGTTTAAAGTTTACCAATATAGACAATTTACAGGAAATGAGCCTCACTAAACTGATTTGATGGAAGATGTGGTAATGCACGTAACCACCCAGTTCTATTTGAATTTTTTTGTGTGTTTCTTCTTCTTGTTGAAAAATCACAAAATTTACCATAGGTTGGTCATTTTTTTTAGTATGAACAATTTAATGAATTTATCATTACACAAATGAGAACAATTTGTGTTGGCTACATGTTGGTTCTTTCATGCATTTTGCACTGCAATTAGGAAAGAGAATAACAGAGAAAAGGATATAATTTTTTGACCAAGAATACACGGACTAGTATTTTCTAATGTCAACTGGTAGCAGGGTATGGGTTGGTATTATACTCGGTCAGACAGCAGCATGGGCTTGAGTTGTCACCAAGAAAGGAGAGGCGAATATGTGCGTTCAAAACTAGGGGTTTGAACGCGTTGATGCAAACGCCCAATTATTAGTCCGGCACGAGCTCTGACAGCGGAATAAAAGTCGTATCAACGACGCCCATTTATTTTTGAAACAAGGACTGTGCCGTTCTGCCATGGGCACATTTTCGAGAAGCAATTTCATTTTTCACAAACCAAGCTCTTAACAAATCCAATACAAATCAAAATCTAGCTAAATTATAGTTACAAACAACGGCACGGAAGAAACACTCGAAATACTTTACAAAAACAACAAAAGAAACTACTACTAATAAGAATCAACAAAATCTTGGAATCGTGTGCTGTACGATCCAATTTTTTGGGGCTCTCCCAAGCAGATGCCGCTTTGGCATAATAATATATATATATGATGGAAATCCCCATCAGCACACAAATTAGCCCTGCCTTTTTATCTCCTCCAAATCTTTCCCCTAATCAACGCTTTTTTCACCACGCTTTTCTTCCCTTTTTCCGATTCGTCTCTTTTTGATATGCTCGCCCACTAATAACGCTTTGTTCTCCTAGCAACCAATGGCCTGGCGCCACGTGTGCGACGCAAGCACGTCAGATCTGGAGCGCCTCGGAGGACGCGACGACTTCCCCGTTCGTGATTCATACCTTCCCGTGTCCGTCCGATCTCCTCCCCATGGCGGAGATGGATCCCTGCGCGCTCTGCTCCAGGGTGCGCACCACGTCGGCCATGGACGGCCGGAGGCTGGGGTTCTCGCCCACACAGGCCGCGGCCAGCGCCGCCACCGCGGCTGCCTCGGCGGCGTCGTAAGCGGTGCCGAGCCTCTCGTCGACCATCCCGCGCGCGTCGCAGCTGGGCGGGTCGCTGGCCCCGGCCCTGAGCCGCGGCGCGAGGACGGAAGTGAGGAGCCGGCCCTCCTCCGCGCAGAAGGCCTCCATCCCCGTGAGGAGCTCCAGGAGCAGGACCCCGAAGCTGTACACGTCGCTCTTCTTGGTGACGACGCCCGAGCGGATGTAGTGCGGGTCGACGTAGCCGGGGGACCCCAGCATGGTGTGCGCGGACGACCGCGGGCGGACGGCGGCCGAGAACCCCATCCGCGCCGACCCGAAGTCGCACAGCTTGGCGGACATGGACGCGTCCAGGAGCACGTTGGATGCCTTCACGTCGCCGTGCACCACCTGCGGCTCGCAGCGGTCGTGCAGGTACTCGAGCGCGCGCGCCGTCTGCAGCGCCACCGACACCCGCCGCGCCCACGGCATCGTGCCCGCGGCCTGGCCCCCGCCGTGGAGCCGCTCGTGCAGGTTCCCGTTCGCCGCGAACTCAAGCACCAGCACGCCTTCCTCTGCGAATCGAAAAAAGCCAGAGCCTTTCGTCAGCATCACAAGGCGCACTAGCCGGCCGCGGACGCCGGAGGCGGCGGAGCGCAAGAAAGCGGAGCAGAGGAGAGGAGAGATCACCCACCTGGCTGGTCGCAGAAGGCGAGGAGGCGGACGATGTGCGGGTGCCGGACGCGCTGGAGCGTGTCGAGCTCCTGGCGGAACACGCGGTGGAGGCGCTCGCTGCTGCGGTGGACCTTGACGGCGGCGAGCGCGCCGGAGAGGCGCGCGAGGTACACGGTGCTGAACCCGCCCTCTCCGACCACGGCCGAGGTGAAGCCGCCCGTCATCGCCTCCACCTGCGCCCACGACAGCCCCCGCGGGCCGGCTTCGACCCCCTTCTCAGCTACCTTGTCGTCGAACACCCCGAAATCCCCATCCTCGTCGCCTTCCCGGTCGCCGGCCGCCGCATTGGCGCCGCACCCGCAGCAGAAGAACCTGTACCTCTGCACTCCCATCTTGTCCAAGGAAGTTTCTTGCACAAACCAGACAGGAGAGGAGAGATGACAGCAGAGGAGGACTTGTGAGGAGGCACCGAGGCTTGTGGGTGAAGGAGGGAGGGAGATGGTGCCTCTGCCCTCTGCCTCTCTGTATTTGTGTCTGTGTACTTGGGGGAAGGCTTATATATACAGGTGGGTGTGGGGAATTCAGATTTGGTGGAGGGTTTGAACTGTGAAGTCCCAACTTTAGGACGTGAGCTGTGGGGGTGATGAGGTAAGCAAGGGAGAAAATTATGCAGCAGTGGCAGTTATGATGGCGGGTGCCTGACATGCGGGCCCACCTTACTCACAAGTCTCCAATAGTACTATGGTGCCTCACCAAATATGCTTTGTGGGGGCTCATCTAACGAACCGTTCGTTATTATTCATATAATCTAGTCCTCCATTATCCGTGGAGTTCCATGGATTACAGCGAAATTATGCACTTGTTTAGACGTATAATTGGACCAGTACACCAATATGTGTGTGACTAGTACACACACCGATATATGGATGATGATCATATCAGTGAGTGAGTGAGTCTGTCCAGTAGGTGTGGAGCTTGCGCCGGATTAGGTTGCAGCTGAAGCTTAACGGCACACATCAGATGCGAAACTGCGAAAGCCAAGGAGTGAACAGTGTAGATGTGGTTCCTTCACGATCCAGGATGTCTCGCACCCACCACTGATCGATGATCGATGCACTAGGCGCGGCAGGGCAGGTTCTTGAGATGATGGCACGACGTACTAGTACGTTCAGGGCTGGTAAGCCGGAAGCTTTCAGCCGCATGTAAGTCAGTTTGCCGCTGCCGAGCTCCTATCAGCTCAAATCAGACAAAAGGTCCTGATGACCGCTCACTCACCGCAGGCCGCGCGCAGCAGTGAAAAATCACTCCAATCATGGATTTAACTTACCAGCATTACTGTTACTAGTATGATAGTTACGGCAACTGACCAACTGTGAGGTGAATACGGAGGCCTTTATTCTCCTGTGGTACGTATACGGCGTGCGTGAGAGTGGAGAAGGAAGCGCGTCGTGCTCGCGCCAAGCTACGCGTCGGTTTGGTTGTGGATGGGTTCGGTGTGGTGGCGCCGTGGTCCGGGCCGGGTGGAGGGAGGAGCAGGAGGGCGGAGGCGGATGGTCAAGGAGGAGGCCAGGCCGACGGCGATGGGCGGACAGGAGGGAGCTGTGCACTGTGGCCTGTGGCCTGTGGGCGCAGCCGCAGCGCGCAGAGGGCGAGCAAGAGTGATGATGCGTGCTGCTGGTGCAGGGGCAGGGAGGAGGACGCAGCGCATCCGAGAGTCGTCGCGATAAATGCGTCTTGTTTGGTTGCTTCTGATGATGCAGATGGATGCGATCTTGATACCCCGAACGAATTCCGCGTGTTGGGAGTTACGAGTATAGCTGCGCTCGTTCATGCATCCGGTTGGGTTGGTGTTCAGTCAAGCAGAATCCTAATTAATTCCTTTCACAAAAATGCGGAAGCAAATCCTCGCAGTTTGGAATACGGTAATGCTTTCATTGAGCTAGACATACTTCACGCGAAAACCCTGCCTGCGTAGCGTTCCAGACGAGCTCAAGAGACTTGTACGCGCAACTTTGTACTACACGGGTTTCAGGTTTCTTCAGGACGTGGTCGCTTTTGAGCTGTGTGATAGACTGATCGCCGATCGGGTGAGCTTTGATCTGGGAAGGAGGGACCAAAAGGTTAAAAGCAGCAAAGCAAGCAAGCAAACTTTCCAAGTGTACGGGCATGACGAACCACGAGCACACACAGATCAGGAGACGCATCGGATTCCTGAACCTTCACAAGAACTCCGGCGCCTGCTCGCGTTCACTGAACTCAACAAGCCCGCATGGGCGCGCGTACGAGAGCGTTTTTAAAGGTGGCAGATTTATTGCGTCAAGCCACCCCTCCCTCCTCCCCTCGCCGGGGCCGCCGGCTTTTATGGGTCGATCGAAGATCTCTCTCTAAAATCTCGATGCCATGGACTCTGATCCAATCCAACAAGCCAAGACATGAAGAAGGTGACAAGTCGCTGGAGCCAAAGAGTAACAGGTGGCTTCTACGCCTGCCTGTGTATCCCTCGTGCTCGTCAAGTTGGTTCTGAATCTGAAAAGCACATTGCGGTTTTCAGACACATCTGATCTGAATACGGAAGCAGTGAAACTCTTGCAGCTGCAGATACATTTGCTTCTGAAAAGAAAATTCTGAAGGGTGGAATGGATGGAGGTGGACACTGAGATGAGATGAGATGAGATGATCGGGCATCCATTTCCATTCCATGGGGAGCAATCTCAATCTGGGTCGGGCCCCTTGGAGGTTTGGCCGTGCGTCGGCGGCCGGCCGGGCGGCGGCGCGAGCCCTCGGTGTGACGCGCCACCGGTCAGGTCCTGCATGCGTTTCATCGGCCATTTTGTTTTGTTTCTTCCAGGAAGGGGGGGCGTACCGCGTACCGCGTACGGCCGCTCGCTGCTGATTGCTGAAATCAAGGCCGGCTCGTACGGGGAGCAAGCAAAAGGTCGCTGAGCCTGTGTCATCAGGCACAGGGATTGTAGGCCAAGATGCAATCATTTGTTCTTCAGGAACAGGACGCTCTAAGTAAAGCCTGTACTGTAGTAGTAGCTCGCATAGGCCTAGCTAGGCTGAGAGGTCCCAGTGGCTTACTAGTCTGAAACAGCTGGCTGGAAGAACAGTGCCATGGACGACTCGAGTTACGGAGAATAGGGATCATTGTCCTGTGCCACCGGAAAAGAGAGGCGATTGCTGTTTATTGGGACATGTCGAGTGTATGTACTACTGCAAGCTATTGCGCAGTTACAGCACATCAGAACGCAATCAGTCAGCCAATTAGCTTCTCCTACTGCATTTCTTCAGCAGGCTTTCGCTTGGTTCTTTCTTCAGTGACTGATTTTCATGAGAATATTGCAATAAAATAAGGAAGGTGCCGAAAGATGTGAGCACTGAAAACGAAAGCAATGGTTGAGGTTGAAGGTGAAGCGAGCTTGCATGTCACACAGTTTGGAAGGTGCCTAGCTCAGCTCTGATGAATTGGCGGTGTGCAACACATGTCCGAAAACTGTCTTGGCCTCCACTTCTCTACTGCTCTAGAGGCATTTATAGAGTTCAGATTTCAGCATCAGCTCACGTCCATCTGGTTGCCGCTCGTGAAATATGATATACATGGCGACGCTACCGGACAGCGTTTGCCAACAACTCCAATGCGTGAAAGCTGAAAGATAACTTGTGACAGTGCACCGCAAAGCGCTCAAGTTCTAGGTTCCACGGTTAAGCAACTGAATAAACAACACTCGTTTTAGTGAAAACTTGTGGAGACGAGATGAACAAAACCAAAGTGATGGGCTCCATGCATGGGGTCGACAAAAATTCAGGTGACGTTTGGATATTGAGATATAGGGAGTGGGATAGGGAAAGGGAAATGAATGAATGGCTAGGATTAAATGAGGTGTGAAGAACGGATGGCTGAGATACAATATTTCCTATCCCTATCCCTATCCCTATCCCAATCCTCATCCACGTCCAAACGCCGGCTCAGAGAACACCAATCTGCTGTCGCGGTTAGCATGTCGCCAGAAACAAGAAATCTCAGCTCAAATATTGAAATCATCATATATTAGTCTTCAGAAAGCAATATAGAAATCATTCAGTCGTCATAAAAAAGAATATTGAAGAAATCATTGCCCGGTCTTCGATCGGCAAGAAAAAATAAAGAATATTGGGATCATCCAGTCTTCAGAAAACGACTATACAAACCATTGTATTGTATGTATGTATTGTCTGAGAAATTAGTGTCCCGGGTCTGCAAGCAACTGAATCATTGGTTGATAGACAAACAGGCAGACACGATATCTGAATGGAAAAACGCGAAGGCCTGTGTGTGTGTGCTTGTCGTTCGATCGTCCGTCAGTTTTCAGACCTATTGAACGTATCACCGCACTGAATCACACAGTTCACGTCAGGATAAGGATTGACGTCCATGGCGAGTACAGGTACAGCGGCAGGCCCGGTCGGTCCCAACGTAGAAGACGACGTCCTAACGTAAAGACTCAAATCCCGTCCAATTTCTTCTTCCATATGGAAACACTAGAAAAAAGATCTCAAATTCTGCCAAGAAAGCTCTCCTGTCCAATCTCGCAAGAGCACAGCATAGCGATCTCCTGCGGGGCCATCTGCTCCTAATTGCTGATGGCAGGGCAGGCTCCCAATTCCATCACATTTCTGAATTCTGAATAGCACACCACCGCCCGAATCAACTAAAAATAATTGGGCGACGCAAATTAAAACCGATTGGCCAGCCACTCGAAAATCACGCGAATTTATATCTCTTTAGGATCAAAGCGATAACGATGTGGCTGTATTTATTTCTGCGAAAGGAGGGACGACGTGAAGCAAGCGAGAAGCTTCGTTCACGAGGAGCGTTCGGACTTGCGACGTGTATCTGCTTCTGCAACAGGAGTGTGGAGCCCTAGTAGTAGATAGAGAGAATAAGACAATCAGACATTCAGACAGGACCGACAATATTCTTCCTAACCCGTGCGTGCGGCTACTATAATAATAAAATAAATAAATAAATAAACAAATTTAGGCGATGATTCAAATAGGAAACAGTGTCTTTGCTTGCCTTGACATGCACCGAACGAGCTCAGGTTTGGTGCAATGGATATAGACTGAAAAAAAAGGAGGAGAAATAAATAAATTAGCCCAAATGAAATAAAAATGAGTGTGCAGTGTGCTTGGAAGCTACGTGCGAGGAGCAAACGACGTCGCAACTGAACAAGAGACTGTTGTAGGCTGCAACAGCTAGCGCTTTGCTGCAGCAATCTGTAAAACAAACAAGTAGTACTTCAGATGGGTCCGATCTGCGCTGATTGCAACAGCAGCGTTGAAAGCTGCTAATTTATACATATCTATCATATATAAACAAACAAACTTTAGCTCGACAGCATTGGCAATTTTG